GACAAATTGATAGTGCTGGGACTCTAACCTGATTAACTTTTTTTTTTTTTTTTGGTGGAATTGGGGTTGGAATTCAGGGCTTTATGCTTGCAAAGCAGATGCTCTAACTGCTTGAGCTATACCCTCCAGCCCTCCAGTCCATTTTGTTCTGGAGGTCTCTTGAACTATTTGCCTGGGCTGGCCTTGAACTGTGATACTCCCAATCTTAGCCTCCCAAGTAGCTTGGATTACATGAGTGAGCCACTGGTCCCCTCCCACGTCTTGCACCTGACCTGATTAACTTTCGAGGAAAGAAAAAGAATGGAAAATAACTGAGATGCCTGACTGTGGGAATGATTATTTAAGACTCTGCTTACTCTACACGGATTCCTCCCTGAGGAAACTTCTGATGCAAATTTTGTTTCCCAAGCTGACTTTTCTACGGGGATGCCATTATATTTCTTAGGATAAATTAGTAAATTGGCCTCTTGTGACTTAATCACCACCCAGGTGAAATAATAGAATTAAGTTCTTGAAGCTGTAAATCAGAAATTCTAAGGCACTGACAGAGTGGCTCAAGTGGTAGAGCACCTGCCTAGCAAGTGTCAGACCCTGAGTTCAAGCCTCACTACCAACAACAAAAGAAATTCTAATCAGCTCCTTTAATGATCCACAACATAGGTCATTCACAGGATAGTCATGAAAATGGGTGGTTTCCACTGTCAGTATTATGTATTCAGTCTAAAATAACACGAACTAAAGTTATCCTCTGAAACTGAAGCTTTGTAGAAGTAACAGTAATAAAATTTATTATTTACTGTGTCTGACCCTACTTTGGGCAGTTTGGATACATCTCATTAGATCTCACAACTTTCTCTGATACACATGCTATTATTATTATTTTTTTTGATGGTACTGGGTTTTTCTTGCTAGGCAGGTACTCTACCTCTTGAGCCATGCCTCCAGCCCTTTTTACTTTGGTTATTTTTGAGATGAGGTCTTGTTTTTTACCTGGGTTGGACCATGATACTCCTATTTAAGGTTCTGGCTGTAGCTGGGATGACAGGCCCCTGCCATGCCACCACACCCAGCTTTTTCTGTTGAGATGGGGTCTTATAAACTTTCATATCTGGGCTAGCCTAGAACTGTGATCCTCCTGACCAAGTAGCTAGGATTATGGGTATGACCTCTGTGCCTGGCTTATATGTTATTATGATAACCTTAAGGTGAGGAACTACCCTGGCCCTAATATTGCTGCCCGGGGACAAAAGGTTCCTTTCTCTTCTTCATTCACTTAGATGGCAGCAAATGTGGCCTTGACATATAGAACAATGACAGGGAGTTCATGGGCCTGTACTTGCCAGCGCAAATGCTCCACCAGCCGTTGTACCATTGGTACCAACGACCATGTCTCCATCCAGATGAATGTGGCTGAGGCTGACAAGGTCACAGTGTGGTAGTTTGCATCTTAAATGTCCCCCAAGGGCTCATGTAGTAAAAACTTGGTCTCCAGCTTGCAATATTGGGAAATGGTGGTTTTTTTGGGGAGGTCTTCAGGTGATTGGGAGCATGGCCTTGAATGGGACTGTGGACCTGGACTCTCTCTTTCCCTCTTTTTCATTTCCAGGCCATGAGGAGAGTGTTTTTGCTCCACCACAAGCTCACACCACGATACGCTACTTCACTACAGGTCCCAACATTATGGGACCAACCAATTATGGACTGAAACCTTCTAAACTATAAATCAAAGTAAACCTTTTCTCTTCATAAATTGATTATCTCAGGTATTTGTTACAGTGACAGAAAGCTGACTAACTTGGGCAGATTTAAGGACTAATTTCAAACCTGTGCTATCTGAAAGCCATTTGCAAGAAGAGTGACTCAAATAACCAATTTTCAGATTGTCCAAGGCCAATGACATTGTCTCAAAGAACATCTGATTGGAAAGAATCATTGATTTGGAGTGTTTGCCATAGTAAGAATCCAAAGAAGACAAAAAGAAGGAAGGAGGGAGGGAGGGACAGAGAGAGAGAGAGAGAGAGAGAGAGAGAGAGAAAGCTGAGTGTTGTGGTGTACACATGTAATTCTAGCAATCAGGAGGCTGAGGCAGAAGGATCACAAGTTCAAGGCCAGTCTGGGCTACATAGTGAGTACTGTCTCAAAAAACAAATGAGCCAGGCATAGTAGTGCACACCTGCAATCCTAGCTACCCAGGAGGCAGAGGCAAGAGGATCTTGAGTTTGAGGCCAACCCAGACAAAAAGGTAGCAAGATCCTGTCTCAAAACCTAAAAAAACCCAAAAGGGCTAGGGAAGCCAGGCACAGATGGCTTATGCCTGCAATCCTGACCACTCCTACCTAGCTACTCAGGAGGCAGAGATCAGGAGGATTGCAGTTCAAAGCCAGCCTTGGGCAAATACTTTGAGAGACCCTATCTTGAAAAAACCCAATACAAAAAAGGACTGGTGGAGTGGCTCAAGTGGCAGAGTGCCTGCCTAGCAAGAATGAGGCCCTGAGTTCAAACCCCAGTACTGCCAGGGGGTAAAAAAAAAGAGCTGGGGATATAACTCAAATGGCAGAGCACTTGCCTAGCATGTAGGAGACTCTTGGTTTAATTCCCAGTACTGCAAAAACGAGGGAAAAAAAAAACGAAAAAAGAGGAGCTTGAGATAGTCTTAAAGAGATTAAAAGATCTAAAGACACACAACTAAGCAGATGGAGTTGAGATATAAGCCCTACAAATTTGACCCCAGAATCCTTTGGTTTTTTATGTATATTGAAAATAATTACCATGACATAGTAGGTCTAGTGATGTTTCTTTGAATATAATAGAGGAATATTCAAATTTTCACTACTCTCTCTTTTTTTCTAACTATCTCTTGTAAATGTTTTACTGTTGGCATATTCGGTCAAGGGCAACTGGGAATATGTCTAGAGTTAGAAAAGGAATTGAATTAGCTGTATTGTAACTGCTGGGTTGGAAAAAAACAATCACAAAACTCAGGACTTGTTTTATTCATGATGTATTTTCAGCTGCAGGACAGAACCTGAAACATCATTAAACTATCAATGGAAATTTGTTGAACAAATGTTGGATTTGTTGACTTTGTTGAATCAAGGTCATTCAACACTGCCCTGCACTCTCCTGCACCTATGTAGTATCTGTTCTTTCCTCTCTCACTCTGAAAAAACTACAATAAAGTTTTCCGTTATGTACAGAAGCCCGCCCTTACCTCTCTCAATTCAGTTGATGGCTTCCTCTCTTTTTTTCTGGCAGCACTGGGGTTTGAACTCAGGGCCTCACCCTTGCCAGGAAGGCAATCCACTGCTTGAGCCACTCCTCCAGCCCTTTTTTTGTGTTGGATATTTTTGAGGTAGGGTCTCTGGAACTATTTGCTTGGGGCTGGCTTTGAACCTCAATCCTCCAGATGTCTGCCTCTTGAGCAGCTAGGATTTCAGGTGTGAGTCATCAACGCCCAACTTAATGACTTTTATTATTTCATGCAGAAAAAAACACGTAGGCAATGACTCCCAAGTCTCCCACTACCAAATCTACACATCTATCTTCATCTGTATCCATATGCTGTAAGTTTTCTATCTTTGAAATAAAAATGTTCCTAATTTGTGTCCTAGATCAAATCTTTTTTTTTTTTTTTTTTTATATTCTGGAGGCTCTCCTTTTCCCTTCCCTAGGGCTATTCTTCTGCAGAACCTTCCTCCACCTCCCACCGCTGGTATTCCTGTATCATTTCTATTTACATACAACCATGCTTTCTAAAGTCATATCTCACCATTCATCCCACTCAGTGGACTTCAGCTGCTTTGGCCTTGTCATTCTTAAACAAGACAAACCCTCCCCAGGACTTTTGCATCTACTACTGTGATTGCCTGTGTCTTAGGACAGCGTCTGGCTATGTAGCCCAGGCTGGTCTCAAACTCCGGGATCTTTCTGCCTCAGTCCCCCAAATACTGAGATTACAGATGTGTAACACCGTGCCCAGTACTGTTTCCGTGTTTTTTTTGTTTTGTTTTTTTTTTGCAGTACTGAAGTTTGAATTCTGGGCCTACTCTTTCGAGCCACTCCACCAGCACTTTTTGTGATTCCCCACTCCTCTCCCCATAGGGTCTCATGAACTATTTGCTTGGGTCTGGCTTCAAAACACTATCCTTCTGATCTCTGCCTCCTGAGTAGGTAGGATTACAGGCGTGAGCCAAGGGCGCCTAGCGCTCTTTCCGTTTTTGAGAATCTTTAATTCACATGAGTTTTATTTTTGGATATGGTTTGAAGAAGAAATTAATCTTATTTTTTTCTCTTTTAGAAAAAATGTGTCAGCACCACTTATTGATCACTTCCTGATTTGTAACACAATCTCTATCATAAACTAAGTTTCCTTGGAGCTAGATTTCATTTCGGCCTAGTAACCTTTGCATTTTACTTTCCTTCCACCTGGGATGTTTCTTTTCTTTTCCTTATCTCTTTCTTTTTGTAGGGCTGGAGTTTGAACTCAGCCTTGCGCTTGCTCCACTTGAGCCACGTCCCAGCCTTTTTGTTTGTTATTTTTCAGACAGGATCTTCCTCTTTTTGCCCCCGCTGGCCTCGGACTCCAATCCTCATACCCCTGCCCTCCCACATAGCTGACATTACAGGTATTAAGTCACCGCATCCGCCTAGGGGATGCTTTTCTCTAGACTTCTTTCAGGGCAGCATTCTTTTCGTCTTCAGTTCGCAGCTAAGTCGCCATCTCTCTCACATTTACATTTTTTCATAGGTATTTCCCGTCGGGTGAGCCATGACTCCAAAGGCCTGAAGAAGCAAGATGAGCTAGAAACTCAGACCAGTTGTTACTAGGCTGTTGCTAGGGCGGTTGTTGCGCAGGCCTGTGAGAGAACCAGCATTCGGCGCCCTAGTGACGCAATCAGGCGGGCGCCGGGGTCGCCAAGGAGTGCGTCACTGTGCGCGGGCGATAGGGGGCGGAACCAATGGTGAGTCACGTGGCTTGGTTGCCTACGCGCTGCTGGGCCGTGGGAAGATGGCGGACGGAAAGGGAGACGCCGCCGCCGCTGCCGGGGCCGGGGCTGAGGCTCCGGCGGTAGCGGGAGCCGGAGATGGAGCCGAGACTGAGTCCATGGCTCGGGGTCATCGCCCTGCATCTCCGGCGCCTGGAGCCCCGGGCCTGCGACCGTGTCTATGGCAGTTGGAGACAGAGCTGAGGGAGCAGGAGGTGTCGGAGGTCTCATCTTTGAACTACTGCCGGAGCTTCTGCCAGGTGAGGGGTTGACTGGCTGGCTGAGGGCGGCGGGGCGGGGAGCCAGGGGAAGAGGCCCCGAATCCGATGCAGCGGCGGAGCTGGACTGAAAAGCACCACCCCCGTGTCTTGCCGCGCCCCCGGGCCGGGAGGGCCCATCTCAGAAGCTCGACTGCCGGCCCCGCTCCGCCACAGCCTTACTTTAGCCACTGCCCGGGCGGGTTGCGCTGGGCACACTGAGAGCACCGACAGCTCCCGGGAAAGGCCGTGCCCTGTCGCCTGGGTCCTGGCCTGGCGGTTAGAGCGCCACTACCCCCAAGAGATTGATTGCCGGTTCCTGCAGGGATATGCTTTTTTGAGTAGAGTGCTGATTTCCAAACTGGAAAACCTAGGGTTTTTCCTTTTTCTTTTTCTAAATAATTCGGAGAGGTATTTTGGAGCCATAGACCTGTCTTTGGAGCCAGCGTATTCTGGCCTCTTACAAGATGTGACAGTTGGCTTTGAAAGGAGTCCCAGGGCTGTCTGATTAGGGATTGCAGAGCCGGTTGGTTGTTTGGGTTTGGTTACCCTCCTCCCTCTTTTGATGGGGTTATGTTTATGCCGTTCTTTCACTTCTTTTGTATTCATTTGAGGATTATGCTACCACCAGGAACGAGGCTGGTAAGCCCGTGGTAGTGATTAGTCTTTGAATAGAAGAGAATCGGGAGAGAGATGTGTGACCTCTTTTGGCAGTCGTGTGATCGATCATTTCTGTGCTACTGAGGTCCCAACCTTGTGGTAACATATATATGGATGTGTTTAGTTTGGTCTCCATGTTCACGCCGAGATTTCCCCGAATGTTTTCAAGTTGTCTTACAAACGTAAATATTTGTCCTTGTTATTTCTACTCCTGATGATTGTACTATCAGATTTCAGTCCTCCCTTTGCTCCTTACCTGGTGTACCTTAGAGAATACAAAATAATCGTAGTGTGTTGATGCTTGAACTCTTAATGAGCTGTCGAGTGTGCTGAATGAATTGTGGCATTCCGGAGTTGTAACGGGGGGCAGGGCAGGGAGGAGCAATTTGCTCTGTTGGTGGTGAGTAGAATCAAAAGTTGACTTGCTTGAGTGCTTTTGTTTCCCTTTTCTGTTGAGCCAGAAGTACCTTGTCTCTTTGAACGGAATTTTATCCTTGCTAATCTTTTCCATACATTGTATCACTCCAGTTTTTGTGTGTAATTGTTTTCTGCTTCTTTACCTGTACTGGTTATTCTTACTTAGTACACTCATTCATTCTACTTTTTTTTTTGAAACCCATTCCTTAGAATGGTGCCAGGCACTTTAGGAAGTACGGAAGAAACATGCATAAGACATAGTACTTACCCTTGATGAGCTTCAGTTGGTGGGATGTTATAGCGATGACAATATTTTCAGTGCAGTTTTGGTAATGATGGAAAAGTAGGTGTTGTAGAAACGGTGAGCAGAGAGCGGACATCCCAGTGGGAAAGATAGTAAAAGTAAATTTTTAAAAAGGTTAATTATAGGTTGTAATATGTCCTTAGAATTGGAGAAGGCACTTTAGATGGGATAGGGCCTATGACTGAAAGGATGAAAATGGGTTATATAATGGTCTGGGTTTAGGGGGAGCTGCATTCCAGTGCCTCAGGTAGAGTGAGAAGGAACACAAAGTTATGGTAAAAGAGGGAGCCAACTGTAGGGGGAGTGTGGGGGCAGGAAAACAGCTGCAGGTTTTGAGTAGGGCTTCTAAGTTGAAGTCTTGTTATCGTGCAAAGATAACAAGAATTAATGTAACCAATCAGATTGAAGCTTGTCAAAAGATACCGTGCATATGTATTTTGCTTTGCGTAGTGCTTGCAACTCCAATCTTATTTTAATGAATATTTTAATGAGAGGGCCCAGAAGAATTTTCAAAAGAAAGTTCTTTGTAATTTGACTTTTTCATGACATTTTTTTTCCCTTGAAATTTTCTGGGGTTTTTTTTTTTTTTTTTTTTCCAGTTTGAACTCAGGGCCTCATGCTTGCTAAGCAGGTGCTTTACCACTTGAGCCACTCCACCAACCCCAATAAACTTTTTTTGGACCAATAAATAAAATAAGAACAGGTGTTCCTGAAACATTATGTTGTAATAGAAAGCACACTGGGTTGGGAGTTAGTTAGGTACTAATTGTGACTCTACCATTCAGCTGATAACCTCAGGCAACCCATGACTGTTAAACCATATCATGTTTCCTGTTATCTTCTTATTATACTTTATACAAACAGAACAGAATTTTATGTACAACTACTCACAAAATTTGCCATGATGTTCCCCCACCACCACCATTTTTCCAGTAGCCCAGATAAAATCAACTGAAGAAGTAGGAAAATATTTACCATTAATTAAGCTGGTTGAATAGCTGTTTCTTTTGCATTTGAAAGGCAGAATAAGAAACACTAATTGTGGGCTGGTGGAGTAGCTCAGGTGATAGAGCAACTGTCTAGCAAGCATGAGGCCCTGAGTTCAAACCCCAGTGCCACCAAAAAACAAAAACAAAAAACACTGATTGTGTGACTAAGTGTTGAAGATGAGAAGCTAGGAGCATATGGTATGTAGAGATAGGTACAGTTTTAAGTATTACATTATTATAAAAGCTGACCTGTGTTCATGGGATTTTTTTTTAACTACTACTGCAAATGTACTGTCATCAGGTGTTTATTTAGAAATGTCCTGAAGGTTTAAACTACCAAATAGATCCCTTCTGCAACATGGATCATGCTCTCTCCACTTATTGTGGCCCTTGGGAAAAAAATGGCTCTATGTTTGGAATTGCACTAACTCAAGAAATAAAGTAATAGATGAGTGGATTGAGAAACTTGTCTTGTTCTGGGCATATTTTCAATTAAGTTTTTTTTTTTTTTTTAAGTTTCTTTTATTTATTTTTCCAGCGGCACTGGGGCTTGAACCCAGGGCCTTGCACTTGCTAGGCAGGCACTCTCCCACTTGAGCCACTCCACCAGCTCAATTAAGTTTGTAAAGATGATAAAACTCCAGAAATAATGGATACTAAGAAAATGATACTTAATTCATTATATTCAATGAAAATTTGTATTCAATGACTGTGTGATGTGGTGTTTTTTTTTTCTCCCCCTTTTACTCACTTCCTTTTCTGAAAACATGGTGGGACAGTGTGGATAAGGTTAATGTCAGAAAATAATTTTTCTTTCTTTTGCTGAAAAATAATGTCTTCTCATTTTTTTTCCCCCCAGTACTTGGGCTTGAAGTCAGGGTCTACACCTTGAGCCACTCCACTAGCCCTTTTTTTTGTGAAGGATTTTTTTTTTTTTTTTTTTTTGAGGTAGGATCTCAAGAACTATTTGCCCGGGCTGGCTTCAAACCTCGATCTTCCTGATCTCTGCCTCCTGCATAGCTAGCATTGCAGGTATGAGCCACCAGTGGCTGGCTCTTCTCAAATTTTTGATGTATATTGAGAACCAAGATCCTGAAAAATTTATAACTGGTAGGCTCTATTTGTAACAAACTGTGAAGACTTTTTAAGTAAGCTTCATTAACATACTTAAAATTATTTGTTGAATGATTATACTTTGAGAATACCAGGCAAAGGAATTTTGTGAGTAAACTATATTTCTATGATATACTTTCAGGTTCCACATTAATAGTGATTTTGAAGGTCACTTTTTGGAGATGGGCTGGCCTTGAACTTGTGACCTTCTGCCTCAGCCTCTTAAGTGCTGGGATTACAGCAGTGTATCACCCTGCCTGGTGACTTTGTAGGTTTTTAATGGTTAAAATAAATAAGTATGACATATATTTTTCCTAGACTAGCAATTGAGTACAAGAGCTCTGAGTCAAATAGTCTCCCCTTATGCATTGGGAATACATTGCAAGATCCCCCAGTGGATGCCTGAGACTGCTGATAGTACTGAACACTGAACTCTATCCTGTGCATACCTATGATAAAATTTAACTTACAAGTTAGTGTAAAAGATTAACAGTAATTGTAAAGTATAACAGTTACAACAGTATACTGTAATAAAAGTTGTATGAATGAGGTTTCTAAAAATATCTTCTTGTGTACCCTTCTGTGATGAAGTGAGAAGATAGAATGCACAAGAGAGTCCATGAAGTGAAAGACATAGGCTTTGTGAGTTTCTTAGCTTTAGGCTACTACAGAAGAGTTAACTTGAACACCTGCACTTTGATAACAGACGTTCAGGTAATATATACATCTTGGACATGATAGACAAAGGGATTTATTTCCCAGATGGGGTAGAGCTGGATGTGATGGAGATGGATGTCGCAAGATTTCATCACAATACTTAGTGAGCAGTTTAAAACTTAATGCGTTATTTATTTCTGACATCTTCCATTTAGTATTTTCAGACTGTCATTTGGCTGCTGGTGAACTGAACCCATAGATAAAGGGTTGGGAGCTATTGTTCAGCTTTCCTCACTTTTTAAACTAGCTCTATGGACTTGGGCATATTATTTTCTTTAAATCTTTTTTTTTTTTTTTTCCAGTACTGGGCTTTGAACTCAGGGCCCTACACCTTGAGCCACTCCATCAGTCCTTTTTTGTGATGGATTTTTTTCAGGTTAGGGTCTCATGAACTACTTGCCCAAGTTAGCTTTGAACCTCAGTCTTTCTGATCTCTGCCTCCTGGGTAGCTAGGTTTACAGGCATGAGCCACAGCATTTTTTAAATTTTAGCAAATGGAATGATAATAGTACTTACTGTGCTCTGAGTGAGGACAGAATTAAAAACTTAATCAACTAACTTATTGTGAGGACAGAATGAAAAACAATGCCTTTGGGATTATGTGAGATAATCCAGATTTCTTATTTCTGTTATAAAATGTCTTTACAACCTTGGCCACTGCTTGCTTTTCAGCTTTCATGTAGTCAATTACATCACCCAAGTCCTTTTTTTTTTTTTTTTTTTTTTTTGTTGTTGTTGTTGTTTTAGATCAGGTCTTACTATATACTGCTATGCTGCAGGCTGGCACCAAGGGCTTGTGATTC